TTATCAGGTAGTAGGCCTCACCCGGCCTCCCTGAAGGCGAATCCCCACCTACAGTACATTGGCTATCAGGTAGTAGGCCTCACCAGGCCTCCCTGGAGACAAGCCCAAGGACAGACAACTGGACAGCTAGCCTGACTTACTATCGGGTAGCAGAAAAAAGCTCCCAGATATTATGGCTGTCAGGTAGTAGGCCTCACCAGGCCTCCCTGAAGATGAGTTCCCACATGCTGTGATTATCAGGTAGCAGGCCTCACCAGGCCTCCCTGAGGGTGAGTTCCCCACGTACTATTGTTATCAGGTAGTAGGCCTCTCCAGGCCTCCCTGTAGGTGACCACATACTGTTGCTATCAGGTAGTAGGCCTCACCAGCCCTCCTTGTGAGTGGTTCCCTAGTGGTTCAGGAAGCTAGTGGCCTCTTGCTATCATTTCAGATGGCCTTATCAGGCAGCTGCTGAAGGCGAGCTTGCGCCCTGGCTCGACTAAAGTGTTTTTCTCTGCTACTGGTTCCCTCCCGGAACCTCTTTCCTGCCTACAGCCTGGTTTTTCCTACCAGGCGGACCATGTGCTCCCCTCATTAAGGGTCACTATGAGCACGCGGACCCCTGAGTCTGGTCAGACGGTCGCAGGCCGCAGACACTGGGTTGATCCGTGGATCGAGAGAAACTCCCCTCGCTAGCAAGGGTTGTAAAGCACTATGCTGAGTCATACTCTCCGGGATATCCCGTCTCTGAGATCCGGGCCGAGCGGTTCACTGCCAGCTTCGCAGTCCCTCGGGTTGGATGCCTTACCTAAGGCAAGTGTCCAGAGGCTCTGTCTTCGGACAGACAGGAAGTGGCCAGACTAAGTGTCTATGCTCTGACGCCAGGTCAGGCCATCCTGGCGGCATTTCGGGGTGAGTACGTTCCCCTGAATAGTGATTGGCTGGGGTTCCTTCGGGTTCCCTAGCCACATTCCCTAGAAGGGACCCCTTCTAATTGAAGTTGTAGTCCTAGGCCTTTGAGCAGGCCCAGGTAGGCCTTTCATTTAAATGGACTGGACTGCATTTTTATATAGCGCTTTCACAGACCCAATGGCCACCAAAGCGCTTTACATAAACAGGCCTATGTATTTAACTATGTTTATGAAGGTTTTCCTGTGAGGCTTATAGCTTAGGCTATGACCGTAGGGAGTGATGTCACTGACAGCCCAGTGTGACCTGAGGGTGAGTGGATCTAGCATTTAATTTGAATTTGCTGTTTCGGACAGTTGTCACTGCCTGAGGGCATGCACTCCCCTTAGCATGGCGGCGTGGGTATATCGTTCCCCATAGAGTCGATGACGTATTGTTGAGTTTCCTTCGAAAGGGAACGTCTCAGGTTATGACTGTAACCTCTGTTCCCTGAGAACAGGGAACAAGACAATACGTCTCCCTGCCATGCCTCGGGGCTTGCCTACCGTACAGTCCCTTCAGACGATAAGGTGATTTGTCATGTTTGCAAGGCGCCCTTATATACTTCCAGGTCGCACGTTAATCATTCACGCTAATGATTCACGGGCTGTCGCCGGTCAATGTGATTGACGTGATTTGATAGTGGTTTCAGACACTTGTCACGCCTGAGGCGTTTCCCCATAGCGTCGATGACGTATTGTCTCGTTCCCTGTTCTCAGGGAACAGAGGTTACAGTCGTAACCTGAGACATTATGTGTGCACGAGCAATAAGTTGCTGTCCGCAGTTCACCAAACGGCCACCGGTGTCGCTAATAACTAGGGTTTCTGAATTCTACAAAGTCCCTTTAAAGGGATAGGTCACCCAAAAAATTCTGTCATAATTTACTCGCCCTCATGTTGTTCCAAACCTGTATTCATTTCTTTGTTCTGTTGAACACAAAGGAAGATATTTAGAAGAGTGTGAAACTGAGCTTTTCTATGGGGCACTATTGACTTCCATAGCATTTTTATTCCTACCATGGAAGTCAATGATGGCCCAAAGCGGCCTGGTTACAAACTTTCTTCAAAATATCTTCTTTTGTGCTCACCCGAACAAAGAAATGTATAGGTATATGGAATTTTCATTTTTGGGGGAACTGAGGCTTTTGTATCCTTCATGATGTTTTCAGGACAGTTGTATCACCCTGTCTTTTGGACCAAAAAAATTAAATTGAATTTTATTGGAAAAATGAAAACCAGAAGAGTTGTAGGCCTACTTTAGTCATTTTAATTTAATGATTTTTAAAATAAATGAATAGATAAAACAAACACAAACAAACCAAAAATGTGCATTATGTCATCTACCCAAATAATTTGACATAGTCCAACCAAATGATTTTCTAGTAGGTTTCAGTGTGAAAAATACACACATTGTTTGAGTGCTGATGCTAGTGTTTTGCTGACTTTTCCAGCAGAATGGCTGACACATCTCTCTGTGTGATCTGGCTGACATGCCCACATAACACCTGTAATCAGGGTCTGCCAGCAGTGCCCCGGGGGGACATAAAGCAGTGTGGCAATGCCCCGCCGTGACAGCCATCCTTGTTCCCGCTGACAGGTCCGCATGAGGGGCCAGAGCGGCGACAGCACCCGTGTAAATACAGGCAGGAGTCTCTGCCTCTGGGGAGATAGTGTTATCTCCAGCGTCAAGGAGTTCTCCCATCCCTCCTCCACAAAAACCCATTCCCTGAGAAGCACACAGCTCCTCGCCCCCACACCTCCCCTCTCACCCTGCCTACATCGCAACCACGGCACTAACTCACCTCTGTCTTGTCCACAGGGACACAGGAGAACAGAACTCGTGACTTTCTGGTCGCTTGATGTATGTGAGTCTGTATGAATATGTGTACTTGGCATTGTGGGGCACAGCTCTTTGGGATTACCATCCCTGCTTCACCCTGATGTTCAAGGAATGTGATTTACTCCACTGATTCAGAAGGGTCTCTGAATATGACCTCCAACAGAAGGAGGCAGAGCCGATGAAATTGACTAATCCTCCCTTTTCTTTTTTCTTTTTCATTAAAAAGAGATTTTAAGTGTGAAAGTATTATTATTTTTCCTCAAATGCAGTGGATTTTCACAGATATTCAAGTCAGCTGGATTTTTCAAGGTGGGAGGCACAGCAAGGAAATTAACTCGAAAGAAAGTAAAACACAACTGACTAAATCTCAGCTAACAAAATATGTTCTAAAAAAGTTTCTGAATTTTTTTTTTGAAAACAGTTTGGATGTTTTAAAAGCGTTTTTTTCTTGGTTATGCGAATGTTAATGAAACATTCCATTTGATAATTTTGCAAACGTTATATGAACGTTACTTCTGAATGTTCTTTGAACAATCTGAAACATAGTATCATTTAAAAAATGTCAGATGAATGTCCAGCTAAAATGTTTCAGAAAAAAACCCTCCCGTAAACAATGAATAAATAATGTTTTTGTGCTAACGTTTTGAGAATATAATCAAAGACCAGATAACTTAACTATTAATGTTCATAGAAGAATGTTTGTTCATAACTTTGAGAGAACCCTGTCAGAATAAGTTTCTGTCCTTCTCTGACTGCTCCATCTGAGCGTGATAGAAACTCCTTTAACAAGGGACAATGCAAATGCAAACTATAATCTCTACTATAAACTATACTAAAACATTGTCAAAATTTGTCAATATATGTATAGATATAGACATACGTACATATGGTAATATACCATTGATTGTCAATTCAGATGTTGTTCAATGCTTGACGTTCTTTCACACCTCATGCTGATGTAGTAAAGGTAAATTAGGAGAGTGAAGAGTAAAGATCAGTAGGCAAACATCTGTTGTGAAGCTTAACAGTATTACAGTTATTTGTTTAAGTGAAACTGACTTCAATTTGAGAAATGCAGGCCAGTCTGGGCATTTTATTACTGTATTTTCCGTGTCAATAATCAAACCACTCTGACAATAAATCACAAATAGCCACGTGAAAAGGGTCATGGATAAGATTGATGCCTGTTTGAGTGTATGTGGTGTGAAAGCATTTTTAAACTAGACATTTTTAGGAAAATATGAATAAAAACCAGAATCAAAATACAGTCTGACTATAATATCCAGCTAGCGAAGTCAATGGGAAATCATTAGGAAATCTTTACCTTGAAATGGATCGGCTAAATCATAGAGAACACAAACACTGTGTAGTCTGTAAACTAAAAACAGTTATATTTATCAAATAATTCTGAGAAATGTATCAATTTATAGATCAATACTAAGGTAGAATTTTCAATATAAGAATCAATGACTGAAAATAAGTTTGAACATAGAGAATGCTTATTGTTTTCATAAATGGCTTTATACACATACACTGTTGTTGATCACCAACTTATTTGTATATGGAATTTTTAATGAAATAGTTATTCTAATTTGAAAAATGCAAACATGAATGCTAAAGAAACAATGTACATGTATTATTAATTGTATATAACTCATCACATGTAATATACAAAAATCAATAGCAATAGACTGAAAAAAGTTGTACAGATTGATCTTTTTATTCAAGAACAGAATATATTTTGTTTCATGTTGCATGTTTTAGTCCATTTCTCAAAGAATCGATACAAGAACACTTCTAGAACAGTCCTTGCCTCGTGAGATTGCCCCCCACAATTCATTGTAAATCTCAGACTAATTACATTACATTCTGAAACATTGAAGAGCTCTTGTGGGACAAGTTGTACTTTCGTAGAATATCGTAAAAGAGAAAATAAATTATGAGGCTAAGTCACTGGGCAACAAACTGAGCTAATGTTTCAAAGTGCTTGTGCCTTTTTTTCCTCTCTGGAAATGATTTTGCGAAGCACTTTGGCTGGTTGCATCCCTTTTCCCACAAATATGTGATTTATATTTATTTGTATTTTTTTGTTAGACTTATATAAAGCATAACATTGCCTAAAATATCAAGTAAACTAAAATGAATATATTAGATTGATTAATCAATACAGGAACAAAATGCCACTATCCTAAATAACTATTTGTCCCACAGCAATATTTAATCAGCCAAAAAAAAAAAAAATCAAGAATTTAAAGATCAAGGGTAATTATAAATGAATCAGAATAGGTTCTTAAAAATGCAAAAGAAGTACAAAGAAATAATTACATATAACCTTCCACATCCTCAGTAATTCATTATGCTAATGTAGCAAAACAAAAGTCAGTAGGTCTTCAGACCAGCAAAGACATGTTCACAGATATGACTCTGCTCTTTCCCAGAGTTGCATCTCAGAGAGGAATCCCTCACAAAGCCCATAGCCATGATCCAGGGAAATTGGGATGGCTTGGACTTCCTCTTTAATCTCCCAGGGGTGCTGCTGATGCTGGTGAACCTGATCTGAGAACATTCCCTCGTAATATAGCGGATGGACCTGTACTTGCTGCTGCTGCTGCTGCTGGTGCTGTTGGTGAAAGTCCTCCATGTTGCATCCCATCATGCCGTTCGCCTCTAGGTAAGCACAAGCCTGCTCGTCCTCATTCCTGTAAACGGACCCGTGCTGGTTCTGTGAAGATAGCTCCATCTCGCACCCCAGAGAGCTCAGCGCTGTGTTGATATCCAAATCTTCAAACGTGCTGTCATTCCCACTAAGCACATCGTCGAAAACAGACGCCAGGTCAAAATCTCCTCTCAGTATGTCTGAAGTTTTGATGTCGGTGGTTAACAGAGGGCTTTTGGAGACCCTGGCCAGCTTGCTGCCTCGTTTGGAGAAGACTTGCTTGCGTTTGTTTCCCGGGACAGGTCCTTGGAAGTGGCCCATTCCCATTTGTTGGCCAGTCTGGTTGCACTGAGAGCCGTACGAGGAGCTGGGAGAGGATAACGTTTTGCTCTGTCTCTGGGTATTGAAGTTTGTGGCAGGCATTCGCCGCCGTTTGAAAACGCCATTGACAAACATGTCAGCGTACTGTGGGTCGATTTGCCAAAAGCCTCCTTTTCCTGGCTCATCTTTCTGCCTGGGCACTTTCATGAAGCACTTGTTCAGGGACAAGTTATGGCGGATTGAATTCTGAAAAAAAGGAGAAAAATCATCAGGTTTTTAATATTCATTTATAGGGGGTAACAATATACCATGTCACAATATATCGCAATAAAAAATTGCAACAATCCCTTATGAAAATGAACCAGGGTTTTATTACAGTAAAAGTAGTAACCATGTTTTTTTTGGCTAATTGATTACAATTTGTAGAACCACGTTTTACCACAAATACCATGGTTAAACTATGGTATTATTTAACTATAATAACCATGTTTTTTATTTATTATTATTTGTAGTAAAACCAGGGTTAATTTTCGTAACCGATGTCTATCGTGGATATAGCAACAATATGTATTGTGTATAGTTCACTCAAAAAGGCGTAATTTAGCATCAGATATGGTAATGGAACATCAAATATGGAGATGGACCAACCAAGCACCAACTTATTCAAGTCCATTCTTGATGTAATACTCCTGCTTTTTTGTTAACTGTTTATCATATGTCTTAGAAGTAATAATTTTAAAAAACTACCGTTTTAACTTTATGGTTTAAAGTATTGTGAGAATATTGTATTGTGAGATCAGTGTCGTGATTTAAAACAAATCGTGACATCAGTGACTTGCTATGTATAACTACGTATACGTATACTTTGCGCTTTTAATTTGCACACACTCACTAGAATCATTTGGTAATTATTTAATGTGTGCACTATAAAACATTTGTTTTATGCTAATTAAATTAAGCTTGTTTGAATGTAGAGCAACATCATGGTTTAGAATGTAGAACATAAATGCAATAACTTCTAGAGGCAGAAGACGACAACGCGTATATAAAAGGCTCCTATAAAATCCCATTGTGCAACAGGTAGAGGTGTCCTGTTTCATTGGCTCACTGTGTGTGTGACAGAGACACAGGGGGGAGGGGAATATTGTGTGTACAGGAGAAGAAATGCTGTGAATAAGGCTCTCTAGTAATGCAGCACTAGATTCACATGATCAGTGGCTCCCTTAAGGATCCCTCATTATGGAAGGAGGCCTCAGGAAACCTATGCTTTTGGGTACAGTGGTCTCAGCTTCCATCATTAGTCACCCTACCTTAACACATCTCAGATGAGTGCACAGGTCTGGCTATTTGCTATTTGGTTTAATGTTGTAATAGTGCTGTATCGACAGACTATGGTTGACAGACACCAGCTAAATACTGTTAATTTGATTCTCGAACAAATGACTCTTATGAATTGGTCCTTTTGGGTGTATCAGATACATACAGCATGTGTGGGACGATTACCAAAAGAATGACTTTTGTGAGCTTGTCCTTTTTACTGAGAATCAGACAAATACAGAGCTAAGTGTATTCTGATTTCCTAACAAATTACTCTTATGAGTCGTTTCTTTTTAGTGAATCAAAAACATACAGAGTTAGAAATGTAGTCCGATTTTCAAATGAATTAATCTTATGAGCTGGTTCCTTTTTAGTGAATCACAAACGTACAGAGATCCAGTCTGATTCCCCTGCTAATGACTGTTATGAGTCGGCTCTTTTTAGTGAATCAAAAATCTTGAAATTGAATGAATTGGTTCAGAGCGGTTTTGGTGGATTAATTCGACTCCCTTACTGAACCGTTATGTTCGATTCCTAAAAAGTAAACATTTCTTTAAAGAGTAGTAGCTATTAAATTAGTTTCTGGTTTGTTTTCTGTTAAAATCTGAAAATCTTATTTAACAATAGTCTGAATAAGATCATTTCAGATGTTAATACAAAGAATGGCACTATAGGCTAAATAATCGTTATGAAACCGTTAAAGGGACCGTTCACCCAAAAATGAAAATTCAGTCATCCTTTACTCAGCCTCAAGTTGTTCCAAACCTGTATGAAGGCATCATACAGGTTTGGAACAACTTGAAGGTGAGTAAATGATGACAGAATTCTCATTTTGGGGCGAACTGTCCCTTTAAGGAACCTGAATGTAAGAGGAATCGTCTCATGCACCTGTTGCACACACAAAAGACAATTTTCTATCTCTCCTGTGAAAATCTAAAGATACTGAATTTCAATACAGAAAAAAAAAACATCAAGTGATTCACAAAGATAAATAAAAGATCTATGAAATTACCTGCCAACTTGGCTCCGCGTATCTGTAGTAGCAGAAATTCTCAGTGATCCAGCTGTATATGGCTGACAGGGTGATTTTGGTTTTGTTACTAGCTTGCATTGCCATGCAAATCAGAGTGGCATATGAATAAGGTGGCTTCACGTGGCGGTTTGTTTTATAGTCGATCTCCTCGGAAGGATTTGTTTGCGCCGTTATGTAGTGTCCCGCTTGCTGGTGCGTGTATGAATTCGCCGAACTGCTGCAGGACGTTGTTGGATTCCCAGGTGTTTGTGGCATCCCTGTGGCGGCGGTATCTCCGGCAGGCGGGCTGGAGGGCGAGTCGGTGCCCCCCAGCTGGTTTTTGTGGTAGAAGAGGTGTTGCGGGTGGCAGCCGGAGCTGGGAGTCCTCTCGAGATTGGCACTGAGGATGGAGAAGTTCTGCAGCCAGTGCAGACTGGTGAGACTGTCGTCAAAGTGAACAGAGCCGCTGACATTGTCCTGATCCTCCGGATGAAGCATCATCCATCTCTCTTTGAATTTATTCGCCATCTCAGGACTCATTAACACTGGCATAGTGGACGCGACTTTATTTGGTGTTTTCGAAGAAACAGTTTCTGTGAAGCACAGACACGTTGCTTGAAAATTCGAAAATAACGGCTGATAAAAATGTAACTGCAAAAAGTGTATTTTTTATAACGGTATAATCCACCACAGGGTTAGGCAAATTAAATCCCTCAAATAAAATGCCTACCTGCGAAATGAAAACACGTAGACCTCGTCGGTCTGTAGCGGTGAATGAATAGCCTATCTCTCAGTCCGTTAGATTCCGCCTGTTTGCCTTAGACTTAGAGCAACAAGTGCAGCAGATAAACGAGCGCATCCACAAAATCGTACATGTCCTGATATCTACTGCGAAAAGCAGCATTTCAATCCTGTCTTAGAAAAAGCCATGTAGGATCAAATTTAGTGTCTCGTAAGCGAATGAATACGATAGAAATGAGATGCGGGCTTTGCACTCCGCCGTTTTGCCTGTTTCTTAATAGCCCTTTAAATGTTGACGCCCTCTGATTGGCTGAGACCTCCAGAGTTGAATATGTCATTGTTCCTGCGCGAGGAGTGTATTCAACCACAGATCCGCGCGAAATGTGACAGGTGCTCATTTATTGAAATTATAGTCATTTATTAAATCATTGTGATTTTAAACCTTGTGAATTGATAAATGTTTCTCGATTAAAATGTAGCCTCAGTCTGAACTGGGACATTTATAACTGTTTTTGCATTCTATCTACTATTCTCACCTTTATTCTTTTTTTTTTTTTATCTGTTTGTTTTATCGCGAACTCAATTTTCCTCTTAACATTCTCCATGCCAGGGGTAAGTCGTTAAAAAGTCGTTGGTTATATATTATATACGCGCGCGCCAAGAGTAGTAGAAAGGCGCACAGATGAAAACAGTGACGCGCAACGAAAGGAGCGCGCCACTCATCCCGCCTGAGACCTGCCCTCTCTTCAAGTTCACAGTCCAGCTTACATGCCACATTGTCATAAAACCGTTTTCTCAGCACGCCTACACAAAGTTGGCCGCTGTATTTAGGTATAATACTTTAGGTGACTGGAGAAACTACACTAAATGCCGTTTCGTCTGACTAAACGAGCGAGCGTATTACTAAAATAGTGAATACACTGCCATCATCTGGCTAAACATGGTCTCTACAATACAATAAGCTATTCATCTATCCATCTATCTAATTAGTAATTAAGCTTTGCTTCATTTTTAATATTCATTGGATGTAGCTATTGAAATTAGGGTTTGTGCCAGAACAGCAGGATCATGAAAAAAAAAATCATATAATTTATACCTTAAAATAACCACAGTGACTCGTATTAGTGCACAACACTTTATGATAAAACATTTGACTACATACAAATATACATAACTTTTAAAGGTGCCTGACATAGATAAGCAGCAGTGAAATCACTAAAAGCATCAGATATGTCACTGTAAATGATGGCAGATCCCTCTATAAACTACTCATTAAAGCTTCAAAAAGTGCTACAGCTTCCCACTTTGTATGTTTCAACGGGAGGACGAAGGGACAGCCAACACAGTACTGTAAGGCACAAAACAAATATATAAGATACAGACATAGATGATTACTTCAACTGGGTAACTGATCATACTATGCGTCAGTATCAGACTGCAATCTGATGCACTTAGTGTTCATTTGCTGATTACAGAAAACAATAAAAACGTATCAAGTACAGAGTCATAAAACACCATGAAGCTGCATACTTCAAGAAAGCTGGGCATCCATTAAAGGAAATTGAACCATTCAAAAGTTTTGTACTCTCAAAGCAAATGCTATGACGGTCCTATAAACGTCTTTTCTTTATAAAGTTTTCTAGAAGCTAGTGCATTAAACTCCTGTGTAATGTTTCTACTTCACAGAGAAATGTCTTGGACTCTTTAACATAAGACTTTGATTGAGAAAAGAATAAGTGTCTTGGATTGGGAACAGATTGAATAGCGTAGTGGAGGTTGAGACAGCGGGTAGATGAAACGTTTATGAAGCGAGACGCTCATCTTCCATGCGGAGGGTGCTGGGGAGGCAGAGCAGAGGCTGACTGGAGCTGCTGGTGCTCTGACTCTTCAGACTTTCTATGGACTCTGATGACCCTGAGGAAGGATGAAGACAGGCGGGACAAGTGAGAATGAGCAGACAATCTTTTGGAAACAATTGATTACATTTATTTTTCTCATAAAAACCTTTTGATTTTAAAAGATTTTATGGTTGAAATTAGTTTTATAGGCCAATTCAACTAATTTCAATTAAACAGTGGGGTGGTGATGGCGCAGTGGATAAGACACATGCCTTTGGTGTGAGAGACCCGGGTTCGAATCCACTGTGAGACACCAATGTGTCCCTGAGCAAGACACTTAACCCCTAGTTGCTCCAGAGGCGTGCGACCTCTGACATATATAGCAATTGTAAGTCGCTTTGGATAAAAGCGTCAGCTAAATGAATAAATGTAAATGTAAATGCAATTGGGCTGACAAATGAGTTCTTTACAACTTTTAATTACAACTGATTTAAAAGGGATGAGTTGGGCCAGATAGTGTAGAAGTGTGTTTAATAGATGGACACTTAGGGTGTGTTCACACTTGTAGTTCGGTTCTCTTAATCCGGAACAAAAAGGAAACCTAACCGAACCTTAAGATACAAAACAAATAAACAAACAAAAATAAAATGGCTTTTATGACGTATATTTTGCAACAGAACTTAACGTACATCCAAGACAATGCTGTATGCTGGGCTAAATGTGTCAATGATATGCGTACATATGATGGTATTTTTACCAGCTGAGAACTCACGAAGAGCTTAGAAAACATAAAGAGGTCAAACCAGCGGTAGGATTTCCTGCAAGAAGATCTGGAGCGAGGAGGCGCAGTTCTGATGCCAGTACTGAACTGTGATGGGCAACATTGTGACTATGATGAGAAAAAACAAGTGTGCTTGAGCATTCTGTCTTTATTAGGGTTGCATCTTGTGACATCACATCCTGTCTTTGGTCCATGTTCAGTTCATATGTCAGTCGAACCGCTCCAGAGTTTGTTTGAAAATGGACCGAGACCCATCTTTTCAGGGGTCAAATGAACCGCACTAACAGAACAATTGCGGCAAGTGTAAACACACCCTTACAAAACCATGTCTACATAGAGCCATGTGCTATTTCATAGTTTTATTGAGTCTACTATTCTAAAATGTGAAAAAGTAACGTATGAAAGGTGTGTACAAACTTTTTTTATTGTGACTTATGAATAACTATTATGAATTAACTCTTACAAAGTGACTGGTAAAAAAGAAAAGGAAAACAAGAGTGAATTATTCATGACATTGATGACCTACCAGAGTCAACATTCCTCTACAGCAGTGGACCATGACTCAGACGCTACGTGTGTAAAGAGCAAAGCCGAGTTAGAGTAAGAAAGAGAGAGAGTTAAGGGACAGCACAGCATTAGACATGCAGACATAGCATCAGTACGGAAGCCCATTTATCCCACATAAAGGGGTAAAAAAATCTTTGGTAAATCATAATTATGACATGAAAAGTCAAAATTATGAGATACTAAGTAATTGTGAGATTTATGAGATAGACATTTTAAAGGGGTCATATAATGGTACATGCACTTTTTCAAGTTGATTGTACTGAAATGTGTGTTGGCAGTGCCTGTACACAACCATCATATAATGATAAAAATCCATCCAGTGGTTTTGTTTTAATCTCCTTATTCGGTTGTTAAGTCTGACGTCACGCGTGACGTTTAGCCTCTTCCGGGCCCAAGCGCTCCGCTCGTCCACTCCAGATCCTAGACTAAATAAACCCTTTTCTTAAGGGCTTTTTTCGCTTCAGTGCCAGTGGGTGTTACTAGGGATTAAGGGATAGCACCCACTGGCGCCAAAGTTTCTTCATTCGTTTAAGATTTGTAACTTACCTTATCAACTGCAGCCATTTTCTCTTATCTTTCTCGTCACAGGGAAAGCGGTAGAATGACAGTTGAATGTCACTTGTTTTTTAACTCCGATCTATTTAAACAACACGGGAACACGTTAAAACTCGGGCGAAAGCGGTAGGTAGGTAGAGAGGACCCGGCCTTTGGACCCGGAAACAGTATTATCGGAGAGTGGTTACGTCACGACTTAACAACCGGATAGGTTTTCCCCTGCCTCAAATCGAACCGTTCGACCGTGTGACGTCACACGGTCGGACGCCCCTCCCGCGATTGTTGATTGATAGGCGCGTTTCAACACAGACCCGCCCTCGCTCGTGAAGGAGCTGTCAATCATAGTCTGCGCGGACCGGCGCGGTCATTGTTGATATGCTGGAGCACTGTCTATGAGCAGAATGGCGTCTAAGCGATTGTGGTGTTCTGTTCTTGCGTGTAATAACGAACACAGTCATTTTAATGTTCCTAAATCCTAACCGCTGAAGACGCAGTGGCTGAGTTTGTTTTCGAAGGGAATATTCCCCACGAGCAACGTCAATCAATGCTTTCATGTTTGCGCGAATCATTTCTCAGCAGACTGCTTTATAAACGAGGGTCAGTATAAAGCTGGATTTGCTAAGCAGCTGCTCCTGAATAAAGAATCGGTACTACCAGATATCCGTGTTCCTGCTGAACCTCTAGAACAACTGAAGTGAGTGTAACGTTTTATTAAACTCTATATTAATATTTATATCTTTGCAAATCGCTTCACGATGAATGAGTCTAAGGTTTACACTCAGGGTACATTACTGCATGTTTTCTATGTATGACGTTCTCCATATAATTCATAATCCCACGTTTATAATGAACAACACGTTATGGTATTGTGTTACAAACGTGTACGCACAGAACAGAGGGGCGGAGTCAGCAAAGCTCATGATCATTTAAAGTCATATGCACTGAAACGGCGTGCTGAAAACAGAGCTGTTTTTGACCAGGTAAAATAAGTGTTTTCTTACAATACTAATGAGAATTTTTAATTAAAGTATATTACAAACTTTTAATTTAGACCCTAAAGAATGATATTAGCTTGTACAAAAATGGCATTATATGACCCCTTTAAATGATGATATAAATAGTCAATACTGACAAAAATCAATCAAGCCAATTTTTTTGTCATAACTAACTGTCAATTTACTTTTCATCTCAATTTTAACTTCTGTAATAATTTCCATTATCTCATAATGAAGACTTAGTATTTCATGATTTAGATATTTTATTTCATTATTATGATTGTTTATGTTATAATTATGATTTACTGAGCATTTTTTTTTCCTTATGTGGTGAAAATGGACTTCCACGGCACCAGAGATATTCTTCTTTATTACATGTAAAATTGATAGGGGTATGAAAAGTGATGCCTTAAGAAGGGAAATTTCAAAGCATTTATTAACTTTATGTGGTTTAAATGACTACAATTAAATTCAAATACAAAAATAATAAACAATTATTCATTCTTATTGAAAATTCAAACACTGCTATTTTTTTAATAATATGATGTGGTTAATTACCCCTCCAGTTACATTTGTGTATAAAACATATTTTTAAACAATTTTAAATTAAAATTACCTAATAGAACTGATAACATTTCAGATTTCATGATTTTACATCAAGTATCACAATCAAATAGACAGAGGAAAATAATATTTACACCCCTATTGTGTACATCTTCAAGTCCACCAGTGGAGAAAATCAAGTTTTTAATGTTGTTTATATGTCCATGTAGTGTTTTTAATGTGCTTTAAAGTCCCCATGAATTCAAAATTGACCATACTTACTTTGTTTGCCTAAATTGATCGTTTTGTGGTGAACAATTCATCCATGCAAGTCAATCCACACACAAAATGTTTTTGGCTTCGTAATCTTTAATCAAAATCTGAAATTTCCCCTCCCCTCTGCATTGGAGGACCTTCCCTGATGACGTAGATTTGACGGTTTGGGTGTCTGCTTAACATCCGTAACCACGCCCCTCCGACTGACAGTAGACAGGCTGAATGAAAACACCTACTTTTCTAGATCCAATCAGGTGCTAGTTGGAAAAAAAGCCACGCCCACTATTTTGCCTCATTTAGTATTCCGTTTCTCTCGGAAATACGTCACAACACTGGAGAAAAGTCGTTTGCAACTTCCGGTTCACGGGGACTTTAAGACAAACCATGTGCAAATACATAAGTCAACACCATTGCTGAGTATTTTCTCCTTAAAACTGCAGTGATCTAAAAACAGTCTCAAAAACGCGGTTTGAAATCGCTGGTGTTTCTGACGTCACAAACTACCTTGTAACCAATCACGTCACCACGCAGGCGGGCTTTAGCATATCATTAACTATGACCGCTCTGAAAGGCTAATTAGCATATTCAAAAGATCGCTTATATTAAAGAAGCAAGGGTGTAGAGTTTCATTCAAGCTATTTTAAGGCATGAAGACTTTTTCACAGGAAAAAACGTTTAAATATGTCATGTTGGTGATTGTAGATGAGTTTTAAGGGATAAAGTTATTGACTACAGGGGGACTTTAAGTAATTCACATGAGAATTTTCTAATGTGTAGAAGGCAAGTAAACAATACTGTAAGATAACAGTAAAAATGCATTTCAAGAGATGCTTTACTGGGTAAAAATGGCTGGGCAAAGCAGCAGCAATAACAGAGAGGGTTCACACAGCACAGCATTAGTTCTGCCAAGCATGCTGAAAAACTTGCTTCTCCAACTTTGCTCTTTTGCATTTTCTCAAAGTCAACAGTACAAGGGTTTATCAGGGCATGAAAGTGGACTCAAAGGAACTATTCCTATAATATGAGTTGTGTCAGACTAAATGAGAGTGTCAATGAGGATTGTGGAGTATGGAGTGTGTGTTAGCGGCTCACCAGGCAGGGCCAGATCTGCTGAGGGGTCACTTTCTGTCCGGCTCAGGCTGCTGCGCTCGCTGTGGCAGTCCTGAAGAATTTCACTCACAGACACACTCAGTGATCTGCTGTCTGAACCTGCCAACATGACATGATTAACATGGTTACTTCTCCAACACCAAAGCCTGACAAGCCTCAGTCAGAATGTTCATATTATATATTTTATTTGTATTGCCGCATTACCGTTGCCCATGTTATTTGAGGGCTTGCAGTACTGACATGAAATGCTTCATTTTAATACAGATTTGCACATCGAGTTTGCTTACCTGAATTTGGGAAACCAGGATTGGTGGACTCTGCTGTGGCCTTTTAGGAAATAAAATAAATTAGCAGTTTTTTTATAGGTTATGGGAAATTATATACTAACACAACACTAGTTTGCATTTCTTTATCAGTCACATGCCACCAGTTAAATAAAACCAACAGATCTATGCAAAACTAATCCATGATCAGCATTCCATAATCAGCTCATTCAAGTCACACACATACGCAACAAATGTTAGAGGAAATACATTTTTAAAGAAACTATTGTACAGTGTATGTCACAGACCCTCAGGTCATTTTAATACCAAGAGTATGAAAACTATGTTCGTAAAATACAGTATTTCCTCTTTGCCGTTCCTGTTGAATAAAAGCCATTAGCTCACTGGCTTACACTTTATTTTAAGGTGACGTTGTTATAGTGTAATTACAAAGCACTGAGTAATATTAATTAACTACATATACTTACTATAGTGTTACTATAGGGTTAGGGCTTGGTTTAGGGGTAGTTACGGTTAGTTGCTTACTATACGTTAGTTCATGTAACGTGTAACTACTGTACGTCACCTTAAAATAAAGTGCTACCAGTGTTTCCCCTAGGATTTTTTTTCAGGGGGGGGGGGGGGGGGGGGTGGGGGGGGGGCGCTGTTAGTGTTGCGGAGCTGGTGTGTTACGGATACGTGGTGTATTTTAAATTTTTTTTATTAATTGAAATCATGTATTATGAATCATTAAACTTTTACAACATTTATATATATATATATATATATATATATATATATATATGGAAAAAAAATTCACACTAATTCTGTGTTGTGTTTTTTCTGGTAATAAAATGAAGACATAAAACACAAATTTTAGCATTTATCATCAATTTTAATCATATGAAATTAAATAAACGTTTTGTCAAATAACTTGCTGCACAATGAGCTTTAGCCTAACTGTTAAAATTAAAACATGGATTATTCTTAAAAATTTCAGTTTTGATGATAATTTATTTGGATTAGTGTTAGTGTATTATTACATTTGGTCATATCTAAATTCTAATGTACAACAGTAATATATTTCTGTCAAGTTAAACCGAACTTTTATTTTGACGGGTTGCCGTGAAGACGTTTTGAGTTTGTGTGTTTATGTCATGATGATAGTTTTTCTCAAATGAAGCGGTGAAATGATCACGAAGTAACTTTCAAAGTGGATCTAGACTAGAGCCTGGAGAGGAAGTTCATGCACTTGTGGCCAAAAAACAGCGCAAGCGTCACACTTGCTTCAGTGTGTGTGTGTGTGGTAAATGAAACTGCGCGTCGGCGGCACCATTCATTCACACAGAACATGCAGGATTCGTATTTAAATAGTCTTTGTGTTTTAATATTCACACACACTAGTCTACATCGCGATTTGATTTCAAGTGTGCTGAACTCCTTTCTATTTTTTCCTCAAATTTACAAATTCCGTGAAATTCCGCGTTATACACTAAATTCCTTTTTTATGACTGGATTTCGTCAGCATTTTAGGGGGGGCGGGGGGTCGTTTTCGGGGGGCGGGCCGCCCCCCCAAAACAACGGTAGGGGAAACACTGGCTACCATTTACTGGCTTGTCAGAGGGTATCATTTAACAAATGCAGGTAAGGAAGTGATAGTGTCTGACCTCAGTGGGACTGAGACTGCAAGGCAGAACAGACTGAGGTTGGGTATCAGAGAGTTCTGACATTCTCTCCTCATCTTCCTCCTCCTGTATGGGGGATGAGGGAGAACGTGTAGACCTGGAAACATCACACATACAGTCTCACTAGAAGAAAATAAAACATTATTTGAGCATTTTCAGAGAGTATTTTCAGTGACTTACCCGTCAATAGTGACTTACCCGTCTGGTGACTTGCTACCTTTGCCCTTCATTGATGCGGGATCTGCGTTTTGCTGTCGCCCAGTCAGGTTGAGGGGATCTCCCATCTCCCCCGAAAATTGGATCTCCTCATAGAGAGGTGCTGATGGGATTGAAGGGGACATGGGTTGCACTCCGTTTAGGGCTTCAAGCAGGGAGATGGGCTCGTAGCCGGGAGGGATGTTGTCGGCATTCTGAGATTCAATAAGAAAGTAAACTTCAGACTTACGGTATTTCCATACATGATTTAAAGGATTTAGTGCTTTTATTTTTTTTTTAAAGTGAAGTTTGTCTGGCAACATACACCTCACCTACCAGCTTGGGGTCAGTAAGTTTTTTTTTTTATTTAAGAAATTAATACTTTTATTATATAAATTGTACATTAAATAAGTTGACTAATAGTGACAGTAAAGACATTTTTATTTCAAATTAATGCTGTTGTACTTTCTACTCATCAAAGAATCCTGAAAAAGCACAAAAATATTAAGCAGCACAAATGTTTTCAACATTGATAAGTATTTTTTTGAGCAAATCAGCATATTAGAATGATTTCTGAAGGATCATGTGACTGTGATTATGTGATTATGCTGAAAATTCAGCATTGCCATCAGTAATAAATTACATTTTAACAATATATTAAAACAGTAAGCAGTTATTTTAAATTATAATAAAATTTCACAATATAACTGTTTTTCCTGTATTTCTGATCAAATAAATGCAAATCTGGTGAGCATAAGAGACATCTTTTAAAAAACATTTAAAAAAATCTTACAGACCCCAAACATTTGAACGGTGGTTTAGGTGTCGCCATATGCCAAGAAAATGGAAACCAAATTTGTCCAATATACTGGTTTATGTGCCACTGAAACCTAAAACACCTAAACTAGAGTCAAATGCGAAGCAAAATTCCACTGGACAAAATCAATTCTTCTGTAGCAAATCAATTCTTCTGTTAAAATGGATCCATCAAGTATTAATCATTTGAGTACAGGATGAAATATGATTGTGAATTTTACCGAATGCTCAGTATGGTCAGAGCTTTGGGACAGCACTGGGCTAAAGGAAACCGGGGAAAGAGCGGCGGCTGTTTTCTTCCTCACGGCTCGGATCTGGAGCAGGGCTCTGAATGCTGGGGCAGTGACAGGAGAAAGGAAGGTCATGTGGGGGGAAAAAGGACACAAATGCAGTGTGCATAAACAAACACAGGTGCTGCATCTTCACATAGACATGCTTAAGAGTTACCAGATTCATTTGGCTACAAAAAGGGGGTAAATATTTGCACAGCTGGTCTTACTGTTAAAGCAAAATCAGTGCACATTCTCTCAGTGCAGAAGTTCTATAGAGCAGCAACATTCTTTACACAAGTACACAAAAGCTTGGCCAAGGCACAGCAGACCTGTTATATATAGTTTCTTATTAGCATCTTTCTGCCTAAATTATATAGCAAGGATATGTGAAAAATAATAATAAATTCACTCTATAACTTCACATAAGAAATGCCCCATAATACTAAACCTAATAATCATTATTACATGACAACCCCAGCAGATGGCACTGTTCTTCAACAGTCACATGATCTGCACTCCATGCAAGATCAATGATGCACTAGGGACTGACTATTCATCTCTAAAAAGAACAATGAAAAGGGGAATAAAGGCACAATGGTAAATCAGTCCATATCAGATTTAAAAAATAATCACTCAGCCTTTTATCTTTATGGCCATACCCACTTTAAAGGTTCGACTCATTTAGTGGAACAAATCTGAATAATAATGGGGGAACAATAAAGGAAGCTCAGGCATTGATTAATGAGCACTTACGCAGTCTGCAGATAGGGCAGTTGTTGGCCTGGTAACGCAGTGTGTCAGCACAGGCATTGCACAGACACAGGTGCCTGCAAGGGAGAATCAGTGTGTCACGCAGGTCTGATAAACAAACCACACACTCGCTGCTGTTGTCACTGTTCTCATCCTCTGTGGACTGAAGAGAGGAGACAAAGAAAACATAGTAAAATAGTACATGAAATCAGACACAGGAAATGGCAGGATGGATATTGTATTACCAGGAACCAGTCAGGCACATCATCTCATTTGCCCTAAATTCTCTGGCGTAGTGACATGATTTACCTTTGTCTCCAGATTGTTCCGGTTTTCAATGCCGTAAATCTCCTGCAGCAGATAGCTCACACGGTCCACCTAAAAGATGAGCATGCGATACGTAAGTGAAATGCAGATTACTGGCTGGGTAAACATCACATCACAGATCAAAATGATCATTATCTTTTTCATGAAGTGACATGGCCTGATTACTGCTTCCACACCTGTGGCGTGGATAAGAATGCACGAGTAAATTAATCAAAGCTTTCAATATGTCTGCTTAATGACGGATCCAATTAAAAAACACAATCATACAGCCATCAACACAGACATATTGGAAAGTGAGATTGTTCTGTTGCTACAAGGCACAAATATCACACCCTTACATTTAATAATTAGAAATATGAGCTTACGATTATAATACTTACGATTTGCTTCTGTTTCAAAGGCTTCACTGAGAAACTGCCATCAACATGCTGTAAATGAGGGAATACATATAGTATTAGTATAATAAAAAAAAACAGAACAAGCTTTAATCAGCAAAGTGATTAAAATTAAGCAAAGTTGAATCAAATCTATTCGAATAAAGTTGATAGTTCTTAAAAGTTTATAGTTCTTAAATCTGTGAAGACAGATTAATGCACTACTTTTAAACATCTTTTCATATTTTAGTCTGACTATGGCGTGTTAAAAAAATGTCTGCAACTTTGTATGATGCACTATAGGAACTTTTGTTCTATGCAATAAATCTAAATAAATTGTTGATTCTGTCTACTTTTATTTTCTACATTGGCTTCAGAGCATTTTCCAGGGTTTCACAACTCCTTTTGATCAATTAACTTTTGACCATGACTTTCAAGATTTTATAAATTTACATGATTTTTTCCAGGCCTGAAAAAAAAATGTAAAAAAAAAAAATTCACAATTTTAAAATTCCATGAGTCCAGGGTTGAGATCATGAATCTCAAACTGACTCCATAAAAGTCTGCCTGGTTAATGACTTACTCAATATTATAAAACATGACTGAATGCTTGCGAGCTTCCAGACCAGCTGACATTCTTGAGCAGAAAACAAATCCCAAGAAATACACACCCTTTCAAAAGCTGCCAAAAGAACATGTGCATGCCCGGTAACATCTGTAACAGAAAATAAAATGAGAGACAACAGTGAGTAATGATATTACATAATTATAACTGATTTTATTTTATGATCAACATTTTTCACCAACCATCTCCATCATCCACTATTGCTTGGATCACCAAAGGGAAAACGCCTTTGTCCAGATCAAAGTTCAGCTACAGATAAATATGAATGTTTAATTCTAAAAAATCATGACACACCTAACTATTCACAATTGTTTTTTTAAAAACCATAGTTCTTTTAAAATCAATACAGCAGAAAGGCCTTGATGAGATGGCACTGATGCAAATGAGTCTCTACAAAAACAATCACCTCTTCAGGCTTCCATTTGGTGAAATCAATCTTGAAGGATGGCAGACAAAATTGCTGATTAATCCCTCTCTTATAATGGACCGTCTCAGACACCATTGAAGGGCTCTTGGGGCTGTATCTTTAAAAAGAAAATTGTAGTGATTATCACCAACAAGTCTGAGCATAACCGAGTGACCAATGTAAAAGCGCTTAACCCTCATGTTGCTTTCAGGTCATTTTGACCCGGAGATGATTTTCTTCTTCCCGAAAATGTTAATGTTATCGCATTGGATTAAAATACTGACTTCGCTCACACAGGGTGTAACTACTTTCCAAAATATTTGGATAAGTTTTGTACTTTTTTTGCTGAAAAAAATGACCATCCATTGAAAATGAATGGGGGAGATCGAAAATAACAGAAACATTTAGTGTTTAGGAGCATGTTCAGTGTTCACATATGTACATGTGTGTTTGCAAAAATAAAGGCCTCGGACCGGTGTATGCGTGGAGTGTATGCACACTCGCACTACCGCGTGCGCGCACACACACAGGTTCATGTAAATAAACAAACAAACAAACAATTTGAGTGTTACAGGCTTTCTTTTTCACAGAGATGAACTTTATCCTCAGATCAATGATGCTCAGATCAATGAAGCCTGCAATCAATCAGTTTCAAAAATAAATACAAAACATGTTCTTATTGAAAGAAAAGTTGACAAAACGATTGAATGCAATATTTGGTGATAATATAGCATAATGCAAGCAATTTTTACAAGCAATTTTTAAAAGACTGGTCATTTTTGGCCAAAGGTGTTAACAGTGTAAGGGTTAATCTTTTGTATTTAGACCAAGGAGAAAAAGATTGGTCAAAAGATTTTGAATTTAGACCAAGTGCCACTGTTTTCAAGAAAGCTATTGTCTAGATGTCAATGGGTTATGTTTCTTTGGGATCAAATGGCTTAAATGGTTCTTTAAAGCAACTAAGGCTATCAATCACAAGACACTCAAGTTTCTACATATCATCTCGTTTTTTTTCCCTGTAAGAAATTCACTTAGCTACAAAAGTGAGCACAACAGACTTGCTGATTTAGCATCATTCTGCAGAAACTTTACACAATGTAGTACTCAGTGGAAACTTACATCGCCATCCCATTGGCAAACTCCTCAAAGGCTTGACAGTATAATGTAATAGCCACTCTGGCATCAGTATCAAAGCAGAATTCAACACTGTAAAGGACCTTAGGATCGCCTGTGTCCTCTGGTGTGCTGTCCGAATCATCCTTATACCTGCAAAATTTTAAAAAAGCAAAAGTTTGTCGTCACAGCTCTCTTATTTCAGCAAATAGTCTACATTGTGACGTCATCAGCAACCCCTTCAAGCCATGACTATATTCACAATAAACCTGACAAGTCGTAAAGAATCCTTCCTGATGTTCACCAAACTCCTCAGCGTCTTGACAGGCTCATGTGGTGCTGGCGTCACATAGGGAAACTGTGGAAAATAGGACAAAAAACTATGTGTGAGGATGACAAAGTGTCGGACTCTTGAGGCGGAGGTTTCATTTGGTCACCTGCACAGGTCTGTTGCCAAGGAAATTCAAATCCATATTTTCCCCAAAAAGATATCCCTCTGGATGGGGTGTGTCAAACTTTTCTCCACCCATGAAAAAATGACTGGTAAAATAATTTCCTGCAATAAAGACATTAAGGAGATTATTATCTAGGATGGATGTGGCCACTACAAAGAGTTGACATTAAATTATATTTTCTCTACACACATTAGATAATAGTCAAACACTGCCAAAGTAGATTTCAAAAGCAGAAAACATGAGACATACAGTAAATAACTGTAAGATTTAGGAGATGTAAAAGTACAAAATGTAACAAACAAGAATAGTAAGATACAAACCATATTACACTTTGTAATGCAGCTAACGTCTGTTAACATTTTACTTAAGTGACATTTTACCTGATTTTGGGGGATATCTGTACGCTGAATTGGCTTGAATATCGATGTCTTCAACACCAGCAATCCTTCGACTCAGTATTGAACCCATGTTGAAGTGTAAATGACTGTTGAAGACTGATATGTAGATAAAAGAAGGTTTATTTGGACAGTTAGCTGGAAACCGTTTGCTTCCTCCGCTATGGAAACATTCCCATCTCTGGCGATAAAAAGAGCTGCGAACAAAAGATATCAACTTCCGTATTTACGTTCTAGCTGCTAGCTCTTCTGATAAACCAGACTGACTTATGTAAAATCCGTTAACTCACAAGCAGACGTCAAATTATCGACGTTTCGACGGTGAACAAAATAAAAACAAAAACAAGACTATTGGAAAAAAACTGTCTTTTGAAGATCCCATTCCCAAATTCTCGCGAGATGGAATTTTCCTGAGAGCAAAGGATATTGGGATATGTTGTACTGTCTACCGTCCATCGTAGTCTCAGCCATGTCTATGGTCTCAGCCATGGTCTTGAGCTGACAGAAGATGCACGCCACAAAAGTAACATTAATTCGACATTAATGCCCTTTTAATTTACTGTTAAGGACATACACTGAGTTATGTTTTTGATTCACGTGATAGGTTTTAAATTCAAATGCCATGCTGCAAATGGTAATTTCGCCTGTTGTCTAAAATCTTATTTTATAACACCTAAACTTATTTCAGTGATGGAGCGAGCACGATTGAATTTGTATATATTTTGTTTATTCTATATTTGTGTTAGATGCGTTTTTTTTTTTTTTTTCAGTCAAAGCATATCATTTTGTCAAGCGGTCACGCACTGTTATTAAAAGTAAAAGCTACGTCATGTAAAAGTTGTCGTCATATACTATTAACAGTACAAAGGACTGTACTACTAAAGTACATCAGATGGTCTTATATTAAGATGCAAGTGATTTAATTGGTGTTGGAAGATTTGTTTACCATATTTGGGAAAGTAGTGGCATAGCTCGAATGGGAATTGGACGGGAGCGACCGTCATTCATAAATTCTGCCTTCTAGAACTTAACAAACAAAGCGTTGCATGCCGGGATATGGAGTTTTTGTGTTTAAAGAGCAACTTAAACACGCACAATTATCCTGGTCGTGTAGTTCATATATGCATTTTTTCCTTCTGTTTAACAATTGATGATTGAACTTTGTATAATCAAAATCGTAAACATCTATCTCGAGCGCTTCAACATACACGTCAAACGAATGCAGTGTCATCAGAAACACAACAAACGTGGCCTACGCATACAATTCCCATGACCTCAGCCCCTCTCTGATTGGCTGCTTCACGCTGTCAATCATCTGGCGCTCGTTACGCCAGCGCTCCTACAGTAAATATTTGTGTTTGCTCAACCGGCTGTAATGGTGGACGACTGAAAGTGAAAAGCGGAGAGACTAAATCTCAAAAATCCTGTCCCGGGTAAAGCACTATTGTTCGTGGCTCGGAAATAAACACCAGCGAATATGGATGAACTCAAGCATCAAGTTATGATAAACCAGTTCGTCCTGACAGCTGGATGTGCCGCAGACCAGGCGAAACAGCTTTTGCAAGCGGCACATTGGCAGTTTGAGGTGAGCGCAGCGGAGAGCACACTATGCATGCATACACCAGTGCATTGTTTATGTGATGCACTGTATACATTGTCGCGCGTCTAGTTGCCATTTCTAGTAATGACTGACAACAATGACCCAAACCAGTTTTATTTTCATCCTTGGGCATTTCAAATCTATTAATGTGTTTTATTTTTTAGATAAAAATGCACTTAAATACCCTTATAGTAGGCTATAACAATTGCGAAAAGCTCAACAGAGATAGACTACTATCCAATTAGAGTTTACTCCAGATTAAATACTATAATCCTTCCCCATGACACAGTGTACTAGCTTCCCATGCTATTATGCAATGAAGATGACCACTGACAGATTACACTACAGCAGAGTGTGTCAATGTTGAGCTATCTTTTCAGCTCGCTAAAAATAAGTGAAACCCCATCAGTTCCCCAGTAGGATATAGCGTGATATGAATATGTTTAAATATTACTATAGAGCATGTGAAGTAATGTTGTGTTATGATCTCTCACTCACAGACAGCCCTTAGTGCCTTCTTTCAAGAGACAAATATCCCTTACGGTCACCATCATCAAATGGTGAGTAAGAAAGCCGCGATCTCCTTTTATAAGTGTTTACTTTAATGAATTTAACTTTTTTTCTGTTGCACGTGTTTGTTATGCTACTATACGAGCTCAGTTTATGTCGTGGCTGCAACAATAACAATGTAAAGCTGTAGCCATAGTGTCGGCCATGTTGCGGAGAGACGGGGCTTCCAGAAATAAACACACACACTGACACACACAGGCGCTGTGTTCACTGTTATTACTGTAGTGTGCCGAGGTAGGCAGTATTTCAGTGTTGCAGCATAACTGAAATGAAATAATGGCCGCAAGGTTAAAGTATCACGGATGTGGGATTTCATCGGTCAAGCAAAAATCAGTGTCTTCTTGACAAGGGCGAGTTTTTAACTCCTTTATTAAAAGGGAACATATGATATGTGCATCATGATGATGGAGTTCTGGAATATCCTACTGTCACTGAAAAACCTTGAAATATTAGGTATTAACACGACTAAGGTCCAATACACTAATACAGCAAGATCCTATTAGTAAATGTTTAATTTACTGTTCATTGGTCATGTTAGCTGGTGTCAATTAAATAATGTTAATATATACAGCTTTTGATTTAAATAATGTTTTAGTGAATTATGAAATTAACTTGAACTTAGGGGCAGCTTACACGGAACTAAAAACGGAAAACTTTGTATGGCCTTTGGCCGTTCATTTAGGCCTACATGACAACAGCCTTTTGGGGGGCCTGAAAACACAAACTTTTGAAAATGGGATTCAATTCACATTTATTTGTATAGGGCTTTTCACAATACATATTGTTTTAAAGCAGCTTTACAGAAAATTCATGTCTACATTACAATTTAGAGTGTTCTGTTATCAGAGGTGACAAGTTATGTATTTCAGAAATGTGATTCAAAGTGATCGTTTTTGAAAACCACACCATTACTGTTACCATCTCCATGTAAACTTACAAATACTTGTATTTGTGAAAACGATGACATCATGCGCATGTGTATTATGTGTTCAGTCTATTGGCGGAAAGTGTTTCTTTACAGTGTGACATCGCCAACTACTTGCTTGGCATGTATAATGCAACGATTTTAGTCGTTTTTTTGTGGATCCGTGTGAACGGCGATCGTTTGACAACATTGTCGTCCGTACGCCAAAAATGCAAGGGTTTTTAGTACATCGTTGTCCTGTAAACCTACCCGTAGATTAATAAATGCTTTGAAAATTTGTATTGTTTGTTCATGTTAACTAATGTAGTTAATTAATGTTAACTAATGTAACCTTATTATAAAGTGTTTATGGTATACATTTTTAAATAGTGTTGTTCAGACCGGGAAAAGTCTTGGAACTTAATAAAATGTTTAAAAAATGATGCAAATTCCTAAAGTGAAGATACATTTTTCTAGTTATGCTTTGCTGTAAAATATTTCATCTAGTAAATAATGTTCTTGTCTAGATTAAAAACATGCTTGCAAGTCATAGAAATGTTTGAATTGTGAGTGAATTGTTCTTTTTGGGTCATTTATTTTTAATGGCAGTCGGGCTGGTTCATAAAAATAATAATTATGTAATTAAAACTTGACAATCTTTGATGTTCAGTTACATATTACACATCAGTACACAATGTTGTGCAATATTTCAGATCAGTTCACCCCATGTTTGTGTCTGTTTGAGGTTTATTGGTGTGAGAATGGGATTGGGGGATACAAAAGTACCTATGGATCATTGTTTGAGACTGAACGCAGGATAGTTTGTCCACTGCCTCATCATTTAAATAGATCCAGGTGAAAACACAAGAAGCAGAGGTGTGATTTTTGTGGCATGGCTGCCAACACTTACTAATGTTATTAGTTATGCTCTCCTAATCAAGTTTGCGCCACAATTTCCCTTGCCTTGGCACACTAATTGTGATTGAAATTGAAGTCATAAGTGTATTAAAAAATACTTGTGTGCTTACGTTACAGTGTTCTTTTATGTTGGTTTGGTCCTATAGTCTTGTTTGGAGGGTTCCTAAGTAAACAGGATTTCAGAATTGGTTGTTGTAAATGAATCACTGATGTTGACTGTAGTCTTTGAACATAAAATCACTTACTCAACATGAGAGTGTTTTTTTGTTTTTTTTTGCGTGAACTACTCATTCAAGCATTTATTTTTAAAGCTCAACATCACAGCCACAATTAAAGTTTACCACATGTTCATGCCTCCCTGAAGCTTAACATCTGAATGCATTGCTGTTCATTCATTTTACTAATAAACGTTAACTATTAGGAAGTAATAGTTGTGAATGGGCAAGTCGTCAAGGGCTGAGATCATGCTCTGGACAGATGTAATGTTAGATGTTTGTCTCCTAGAGTGACCCTGCGGCTGTAGTCCTACAGTAATTGCTGACCACGTTAACTCATAACTCACACACTGAGCCCAATGCTCAAAAAAGAAATTTGGATCTCACACTAAAAAGCTTAATTATGCATTATTATAATGAAATCTAGGTTTTGAAACACACAAAAAAGTAATTCACAGTAAAATTCACTCTGTTATCAGAAAGTAGGACTAAAACAGTATGAATATTAGATAAATAAAATGACTTATTTCTTATGATTTAAAGGTGCAGTCAGTGTGTATTTTTTAGCGACATCAAGCGGTTCGGTTGCGAGTTGCACTAAGGGCTCAGCCCACTGCTCACCCCTCCCTTTCGAAAAAGCTACGGTGGCTAAAACGGAACAAACATATCGTCGTCTGAGACAGCAGAGAATAGCCAGAGTAAGCCACGAGTGTGTAACATTGTCACTGTTTCTGTACCACAGTCCATTATAAACCACACCATGGATAAAGTTTACAAAGCCATAGTCAGGTGAGGATCAAGGGTCTTAATATATAATATAATAATAGTAATCAGCTGATTGTCTCACGAACGTAACCAGCACATTTCTCCCCACATAGCAAACCCATAATACAGCGAGGGAGAAGAACCACATGAAACTATGCAACTATATATTTTTTCTAACAGGGTAGTAAAAGTTTAGCTGGCTAAATATGAGCTGTTACTGTGGCTGAGCTCGTTAAAGCGTAAAGCCGATTGTTTAAACTCGACGCGTCCGCATGAGCCCAAAGGTGCGCGCGGCAAAAATGACATGATTGTAACAGCGCGCGCCTCCGCACCCCCTAGACACCATTTACTACACACAATAGGCTTTTTTCTCTGATTTTGACAACTCTTCGCGATCGACTTAAAATGCTTCCAAGATCGACTTGTCGACCGCGATCGACGGTTTGGTGATTCCTGTAACGTTACTGTTTTACGGTCAATGTAGCACTCTGTAGCACTGTTTGTTCTCTGTCGGCTACGGTAGAAACATGACGTCACAATATGTCGACCTTCATAGAAGGGGGTGCCCGCGGTTATGTAGATATAAATGTCTCATTCTAAGGTAATAAAAACATTACGGTTTATTAAGTAAGTTCTTTATACACCACTGAAAACAGTTATGGATGTCATATTGCATTTCTGTTAATAGATACTCAAAATATTTACACATTGCACCTTTAATAGTGACATGTAATGTATGTCTTTTTGTTTCCATATTATATTACAAAAGACATTTTTTCTTTACACAGCAGTAGTTGACATTGCAGGGGATATGACTTAACCAAATATTTAGTGTTTTTTCAGTTGAAGATTCTTTTTTAATTTAGGTCATCAATTATACAAAGATATAGATCTGTTCTATTGATTTCCATAATCGAGTAACATATATTTGAAATCAAACATAAGCAGAATGTGTGGTTCATTACCAAAGGATAAAAATGTAAAAATCCACATTTTTGACAAATAACGTTTTCCCGAGGAATTTTGTTAGTGAAGCTCTGACCATGCAGTCACCTCCAGTAATTAAAACAGGATTTAACACACAAAGAGTAGAAAATGCTCTTTTCCTGGCATTGGGGCTGAGATGGAGGGGTACAAGTTCTGGTAACTTTAACTGTGGTTTGTTCCTGGGTGTGACCTAAGAAAGAATAGGCAATATTACCATTTTTAGATACAATCTGCAGTGTTGACAGAGTTGGGAAAAGGTTAGAGTAATGACGAGTTTATGGCAGTTAACGGACAGTTTGATTAAAATGATCATGGCGTGAAGCTCCTTATCTTGATGACCTTACAGTTATGTTGCCTATAAAAGAGAGCAGATGTTCTCTCTTGTGGAGGCTGTGAATTGGGGAAGTGGGACAATCAGACCTTGTGAAACAGTATAAAGTAAAATATAGGTTAGGAAGTTTTGGTTTTTTTAAACGCTGGAATGTCAAAAGTCAATGTATGCAAAGTATTTCACTCAGAGACAATGATTAGGCTATGTTTGAACTGAAGCATCTGGCATTTCATGCTTTGTGTTATTAGGGTGCCAGAGAGAGTAAACCACATACACCACATTTACAGGCATTGTTTCCCAGCATGCAATGCAAATGTGCGAACAAGAAGTAACTTGTCATGCACATGTCAAACCAAGACATCAAGGTTTGGGAGGTTAGCATGCCATGGCCCAAATTACCCCTGCTGGTAGAGGCTGTTGTTGTGTAGGATTCCAGTCCCCTGAATCAAAACCTCTAAAAACATATGCTATGCTAGCTTTTCTCCTTTCTTTTGTTTTCTTGGATACTAGCATGCTCTTGAAACTCATCACTGCGGAACTCCACCCCCGCAACTATAGCATTAGTGGCAGAAGAATAATATCATTGGAATGAATTTCAAAATGATTTTTTTCCTAGCTGAAGAATGATAAAAACATTGACAGCCAATCAGAATCCACCTGATTTTAAAGATAATGTGCGTTTAAAGTGACAGGCGACGTAACATCACTGCAAGCTTAAAATTAACAGTAAGTAATCGTTGTTGGTGTGGACGTGGAGTTATCATTATAGTTATTTTTACATTCTTGGTGTGAACAGGCCATTAAAGTATAGAGTATTTCGTCATAGTTATAGTAGGCTACAAACATTCTTACAGCAAATTGGATTTAAGG